ATCACAATAATTGATATTTAAAAAGTATAATCTTAGAAATCGACTTGTTTAAATATAATTTGTATAAAATTTTCAAATGACATGAAATCATTTACGTTATGTTTGGATCCATAGAGATTTGGATTTGAGTCAAATATATTATTTGGAAAATAAAAAGTGTATAGATTTAAATTTAATTTAAATTTAAATTTAAGTTCTTAGAACCGGTAAGTTGGGTCAAGCCTAAACCTGCTCATAAAAGTTAAGATGAATCCTAAAAAAATATTAATTTTTTAATATTTGAGCTTATTTGGACAGTTCAAATATGCCTGAGAAAATTCTAGCCAAACCTGAATTCCAAAATAAAAAATAATTTTTTTAGAAAATATATAAAATATAATAAATATTAATTAATTCTTTAACTTTTATATTATTTTATACTAATATACTATATATTTGAGTGTATTACTGTAGTTATTTTTAAAAAAATTAAAAATATTTCTTTTTTCATCATATTATTTTTTTAATCAATAAAACATCTCAAAATAATATGTAAAATATATTTTAATATTAATTTTTATATTTTAAGATCTATTTTTTTTTACACAAATTTTTGAGTTCTATACATCATTTGAGTATCCAAAAAAATATATTTTATATTTTTATAAAACAAAATAATTGATTTTAAAGTAAAAATAAAATTAAAAATAATTTTAAAAATAAAATTCAAGCATATACAAGTTCCTGGCTTTACTACTAAATAACCATAATAAATAGAATACTCTTGGATAATTATTTGATTATTATCTATGCCGAATTTGATTAAAAATTAAGAATAAACTATAATAAAAAGTAAAAGCCATTTATATGTAAATGTTAAACAACATAAAAAGTTAAAGAAAAAACAATTCCAAAAAAAATAGTATTTTACTTATAATTAAATAATTTTTTATAAAATATAATGATGGTTACTTTTTCATATTCTTAAAAATGAAAAGTATAGTTTACCCAAAAGTTATTAAAAATTTTGAATTAATCAGAACAATAATTTTATAAGTTAGTAGTCTAATCGTGATTGAATTGAAATCAAATTGATTATAATTAAAAAATATAATTTAATTAAAATATATAAAATATTTATATATGATCATGATAAGAGAAACATTTAAATAACTATGATATTAATTTACAAGTAAAGAAAAAATTTATGAATAAATCACACATAATATAACAAAATAGTAACAAAACTACTTAAGTATAAAGTTGATAAGTTATTATTTTTTATTTTATTCTTTTAAAGTTAAAATAATATTTTATACTTAATAGAATTATTTAAAAATAAAGAAAAAATATTTTAAACAGTTTGGATATTCGAGCCTGCCTGAAGCCTGAAAGTGTTAGGGCCGGGCATAGCTATATGGGCTTTTTAGAAGGGGTATGATACTTTAAATCCGATCATGATTGACCTAATTAGAACAATAATTTTATAAGTTAGTAGTCTAATCTTGATTGAATTAAAATCAACTTGATCATAATTAAAAAAATATAATTTAATTAAAATATATAAAATATTTATATATGATTATGATAAATGCAATATTTAAATAACTAAGACATTAATTTACAAGTAAAGAAAACATTCATGAATAAATCACACATAATATAACAAAATAGTAATAAAACTACTTAAGTACAAAGTTGATAAGTTATTATTTTTTATTTTATTCTTTTAAAGTTAAAATAATATTTTATACTTAACGGAATTATTTAAAAATTAAAATTATTTCAAAAATAAAGAAAAAATATTTTAAAAAGTTTCGGATATTCAAGCTTGCCCGAAGTCTGAAAGTATTAGGGCTGGGCATGGTTATATGAGTTTTTTAAAAGGGGTGGGATATTTTAACCTCGATCCAAATAAGCCCAACTTGAATTGAGATCGACTCGAATAAGCCCAACCCCGCCTGAATTACCGACTCTATAAGTTCTACCATAATTTTTTTATAATTTAAAATCCTTTTTAAACTTCTATTAATTTAAATATACCATACCTCAAACCCTTTGTAATTTGATTGGCTAGTTGGCAGCACCAAACAGGATCATATTACTAGTGGTGACGAGGATTGAATTGTTGCCACCACTGATTGGGATTGGGCCATCACTACCAATTGGGATCAAATGGCTATCACCAATTAGGATCGAGTGACCAACTCCCATCGATATCAAATTGTCGGAATCAACCGAGACTAAATGACCAACTTTCACTGGGACTGAATTGCTGACGACGATTGAGACAGAGTACAGGCTACAACGAGGACTAGAGTATAGGTGACAATGGGGACTAGAGTGTAGGTGATGACAAGAATTGGAGTACAAGTGACGACAGGGATTGAACAATTGACTTCCACCGAGTCAAACTGTTGACGTTGACCGAGATCGCACATCCAACTTCTATTAGGATTGGAGTATAGGCAACAATCGGGATAGGACTGATCTCAATGAAAGTTGGCCATCTAATCTTGATCATTGCCTACACTCCTATCCTAGTCGGCGTTAGTGGTTCAATCTCAATAGTAGTCTGCTGTTTGGTCCTAGTCGACGTTGACGGTTAGGCCTCAATTGGTGCTAATGGTCCAATTTTGGTAGAAGTTAGTCGTCTAGTCCCAGTCATCTCTAGTGATATGATCCTGGTAGAAATATGCCATTTGATCTCGATGGGCATGATGTCTCAATCTTGGCAGAAGTTGGTCGTCCAAACTATTAACTTTGATCAGGATCAAATTGTAGACATTGTTTGAGTTGCTTTTAAATTTAAACATAGAATTTAATATTTAAAATTTTATTTAAGATCAAAACAAATGATTTTAATATTATAATTTTAAATTGTTTATATCATTCAAACAAAAAATTCAGAATCTATAAATTTTAAATGTGAGATTTCATATATGAGATTTCAAATCTAAATTTTCAACCCAAATTCACCCATTCAAACCTAACCTTATAATAGTCACAATGTAAAAATAATATAACTTTTCACCAAGTAATATAAATTATTAGAATTTTTTATGTTATAGAAAATTATATAAATTCATGTGTAAGAGACAATTCGGTTGGCATATTAGGTTCAGTAATAGATAAAAATATTTAAGGTTATAATTAATTATTATTAATTACTTCGTTTGTTTCAAAATATGGGTTTTTTAGAAAGAAATTTTCATTTCATTTTATATGTACTTTTAAAAGTTCAATCATCATTAATTGATGCTTTTCCAACTATACTGTTATTTATGATTTGAAAATGTAAATAAAATTTCACCACAGTTGTTGTATTTTTTATTGTGTACGTAGAAAATTTAAAAAAAAACGAATTAAGTAATTAAATTATTATAACAAAGAAAATTTCACATCTCATGGGGTTCTCTAATCTTAAACCACTCAAAGCGGTAATTAATTGTGACAAAGAACCGAACAAATAATAATGGGAATTGCCCCGCTTAAGTTTCAAATTCCCCAAGCTCAAAGGATGACATAAAAATTACGTGTCAGTGTTTTATAGGTCACACGTGGGTAGTGGCAATTCCTTTTCAAGAACGACAAGATTAGTGGATCGGGTCAGGTCTTTATGAAATTTGGCCTCTGTGAACTCGAGGCATGAAATTACTGGTAAAGAGAAAAAAAGGGTTGGGGGGGGGGAACTCAAGACTTGAAATACTTTTATTGTAAAATGGATTATTTTTTGAGAGGATGGCAATAAAGTTTTAAAACTTAAAATTAATGACAGTTAAATTTTTAATTTTTTTAAAAATAAGTTATAAATATTAATTTAAATAAAAAAAATATAACATTTGATTAACATGTTTTATCGAGTTTTGCTTTTAGTTTTTATAATTTTTTTTAGTGTTTTCAGTATTTTTAATTCTTGAAGTTTTTTCTAGTGTTTTTAGTTCTTCTAAAGACTAAAATATGAAAACTAACTTAAAAAATAAAAGTTACCCAATCTTTTAAAAATTATATAGACTAAAAGTATTGAAAAAATTATAGAAAGTAAAAACAAAACCTAATAAAATAAGAGGGATCAATGATTATGTTTTTTCTTTAAACAATTATAAAAAGAATTTCAACTATGAATTGAAAATTATATTTAAAATTTAAATATTTTATTTATAGTTAAAACTTTTAAATTTATGATTATTTGAATCAACATTTACAACTATTTTTTTTTTTCAAAAGATTTTGTTGAGAATCAAACTAACATAAATTCATTGATTTAGGACTTTTATATCATTCTTCATTTTTTTTATGTTCAACTTTTATAGTTAAGATTTAGAGTTGGGCTTGAAGACCTTTTTTTTAATTTTTTAAATAGAGTATAATATTATATTTATTATTTAAAATATAAATTATAATTTTTATAAATAATTTAAACTTTAATTTAAAAATACAAACACATGTTTTAAAGTCTAAATTTAATAAAAAATTAAAAATACGTTAATTTCTTAAGCTTAAAAGAATATAAATTTAAACAAGTAATTCAAATTTGTATTTTTTTTTAGAATTTAAATAAGTGAAGTTTAGAATTTCTTTTATACTTCCTTTATATAAAGATGTAAAGTATTTTTTAAAAAGTTAAATATTAAAATATGTAAGGTATTTTTAATCTTTTAATATGTAATTAATTATTTTTTAAAATATTTTTATTGATAAATAATTTTATATTTATTGTAGGATGTTTGAAAATTTTATAAAAATAAATATAAAAAAATAAAATTAATTTAAAAATAAATAATTATTTTATTGCGTGAGATTTGTTTATTAACAAATTCTTCAATTTTTTTGGCCAAAAAAAAAAAATTCCTCAATTTTTTAAACCTGAACTGTGTATAAAATACGGGTCGACTCACAATCGCGAATATAAGTTTCTTACGCTTTCCGACAAGGTCAAGCATCTTGCGGTGAACTACACGCGCTGAATCGCGCAATAAGCCAATACTTGCCTAGTCTAGCTTCGTTTTCACTTTTCGATCGAAATTTGGAGGACCGCTGCGTCATTTCGACCTCCCTACCACCTTCCTCACATTGGCAAGCTATCTAGCTTTCCATGTTTGCTCTTGCCTTAGCTCACATTCTCTCTCTGTATCTTTCTGTGCGCGCGTTAACGTTTGTGCAAGTTTAATTGAAAGATAGAGAGAGAGAGAGAGAGAGAGAGAGAGAGAGAGAGCTTCAGAAGACGGTGGTCGGAGGTGTTAACTTCCGTCGGTGTTGTTTTCACCAATCCTTCGTTTCTCTCTTTCTGAGTGGGAGATATGAGTTTAATATTGTCTGCAATTCTCAGATTGGTCCTTCTCTGCATTCTTCTTCTCTGTTTCTCTACTCATACATCACATACTTTGTCTCTCCTCGCGGTCGAGTCGGAGCCTGACGTTGTCTTAGAGGTAGTTAATGCAACCGCCAATGCGTCGTTTGCGAGATCCGATGGGGATAGCTTCGCTAACATGATTGATCGGGCTCTGGAGAGGGAGTTCCCCGAGAATGAACAGAATGAAGGTTTGTAGATCTATCTTCTTTTCACTTTAGGTTCAAATGCTTGTGCATTTAATCTATTTCCTTTTTATAATTTGGTCGCGGAGACTTGCGGTGTCGATGTTTGAGCTAGGCCTTTGCATTCCGGAAAATGCAGTCCAACAATTGGAGTTTCACCTTTTGTTTTAGATGCTTTATTTTTTTATTTTTTCTTATTAGAGTGTGAAACGAATGCATTACGCGGTTTAACCTTGTCCTCTTTCTTTAAGCAGTCTTGTTACAATGTGTGAGGAATGATCTGATGGTTTCATTAGCAATTTGAGTGCAACCTTCATTAAACATAATTAGATAATTCGGAACCATTTTATAGTGGTTTCTGAAATTAGATTCTGTGCCTTGGATGGAATACTAGTGAATAATTCCCAGCTCTGAAATTACGTTTATCTTCTCTGTATTCTCTTTTATGAAATAGTTTAAAACCCATGCATTGCTCATTTGGGTTAGTTACCGTGACTCTCTTTCACAGATGCTGATGCTGGTAGTTTCAATAATAGTGTTGCTGGACAGCAGGTGGGTATTGCTATGCGTTTATATGGTATGTTTAATACATTCAAATTGAATTTATTGCTTTCTGAAGTACTGGATAATATTTAAAGTGAAACTGCCCTGATAGCTATTGAGTCTGGCTTTAGTGGTGTACTTTTTCAGTTATTACTGCTCATAGCTTAATGCCTGAGTTTAATTTGGTGGCAAGTTCAGCAAGACAAGGTCCCGTAATTTCATTTCTCAAGTTATATCTGGAAAATTATCCATATTGGTTAGAAGAGCCTCGGGCTCATTTCTGACAGAAGTTGCATTAAATGATATTGTATATTTTAATTAGGTGTCCGGAACCCATTTTTGATTCTATCTTGACTGAAAAATATTAGTGGTGAGGATTTATATGGTGCTTTAGGTTTGGCTCACAAAGTTTGTTTAATAGGTTAAAATTATGAAGATATTCTCTGTTCTGAAGGTTATATATGTGTTATTATCCCTTTATCTGATTCCTTCTACTCACATATGTGATGTATCAGGCTGTTTTGGAGACTGTTGCTAGAGTTAAGAGCAAGAAAAATGAGAGCAAGGAGGAAAAGTATGTGGCATCTTCTATAGTAAAATAAATTGTTGGTTTTTCTTGGGGGTGGAAATGGATTTGTTCGTAGAATTTTACTTCAATCCTAATAATTATTTTTTTCCTGTAATATCTTAAAGTTCATTGCTTTATGACATTTGGTAATTTGTGTATCAGGTCATTTCAGTTCCATGATGTTTTCAATTTGGATAATGAGAATGGAGCAGAAGACATGCCAACATTAATTGATCGGAAGGTATGCCCTGTTCATCCTATTGAGGTTTATTTGTTCATGATTCAAACATGAAGGGTTAATAGTGATCTTTCCGTACTACTATATTATCATTATACCGCAACAAATGTTATATGTATTCCTTTTAGAAGTGAATTTAACTTTTATTTGTCAAATGTTCCATCTTCAGGACAATGTCTTTATCATGTCCAACCGCAAGTCAAAGTATCCTATTCTTCAATTAGACTTGAGGTTTACTCAATTTCTCATCCTTTTTTTTTCCAGAGCATTGCATGTACCAATTAAAGGCTTGTTGTTGTTGTTGTTGTTGTTGTTGTATTGCATGTACCAATTGTATGATTGGATGCATCAAGTTAAGTTGCTTACTTTGTTTGATCTGCTATATTTGCAGATTAATATCAGATCTTGTAGTTGTCATTGTATCTGCAACATGTGGTGGCATTGCCTTTGCTTGTGCTGGACAGCCGGTTTGATCATAATCCTTGTTTAAATGTTCTTCATAAAATGTGTCTACCATATATCATTTATGAGTTGTGTTATCCACACATTATTTTTCAGGTCATGACTGGTTATCTGCTAGCAGGATCAATCATTGGACCTGGAGGCCTGAGTTTTGTCAGTGAAATGGTCCAAGTATGTTGCTATTACAGTTCTTTTGTTGAATGTCTAAGTCTAAAGGATCTTATTTACTTTCTAGCTATCTTCACGTCTCATTTTTTGCTAGAGAAATTCACAATGTTATAAAAACCATAGTGGAATGGGTTGTTTAACCGAAAAGCCAATGAATCAACCATGGTCTTGGTCTCCTTTAGACATAAAACCGGCCTTCCAAAGAATGGGTCAAAGGCTGGCCAAACTAATCAAAACCTAGAGAATTGGGTCAAAACTGGATTGTTTCCATAAAACTTGGTTTGCAACTATCAACTAGGTGGAATTGGTCAACCCACAGAAGAAAACTGGGTGGCCTGTGTCGTTTAGAAATTACTTCTCCGATCCTCTTTACAACTCATTTTTACCAATCTCATCAATACCAATACAAAAAAAGTATAAGAAATAAAAGTGTGTAGAATTCCAAATATGCCCTATACAATAGATTTAAAAAGTGATGCCATATTACTTTTTCTTTCTCATGAAGAGTAATTTTGAAAATATCTTTCAAATATTACTTAAAAAGTTGCATCGTGACTTATAAATGAGACCAAATAGACATTCTAGAATGTGCCTTATAAATAGGATTGAAGGAGTATATCCCATTCCATCAGTCCATTGAGTATACTTAAATCCTCCTCCCTTGTCTTTTATAACCTCTACACTTCTCTCTTTCTTTCATGCAATGTGGTGGGACTTCTGATCCCGATGCACAAGTATAGCTAGACCTGGCACATTTTTTTGGTTACATTGTAGATGTGTACACTGAAGGATTTGCTCAGAAGCCTTGCTTCCTTTATAATATTTACGTTTTTCTCTTGGAAACATTTCAGGTTGTGGCACCATGACCCACTTTTACATGCCTACAAAAGTAGGAACCTCTCTTAGTATTTTGTCTAATGATAAAAATAAAAGAAAAATTAATATGTAACCTGTAGGTTCTTATAGTTTTTCTCAATTTTGAATTAGGTCCCAATAGTTTATTTTGTTCTAATCAAGCCTTTATGGTTTGATCCCTTAAATATGTTAACCTCTTAAAGTTGAAATTATTAATGAATGATTAATTTTTTCAAAACAAAAACACCTTTGAAGTTCATATAAAATTTGATTTAATACTTTTGGAAAAAAAAAGAAAAAATAAAATTTGATTTAATACAATATTTAATTTTTTATTAAATTTTTTATGAAAAATCTATATGTATAAAAATTATTTAGGAGACATAACCTAATTATATAAATTTTGAGTTAAAAAAATTTGTAATTAATTCTAAAGTTATATAATATTTTAAATAAAATATAAAAGTTCTTAGTTTCATTTTTTAAAGGAAAAATTCAAGGATTTTAATCTTTAGGAATTAATAAATCTAATAACTTATAAGAACTTGATTGAAATAAAATAAACTATGAAAACCTAATTTAAAATTGAGGAAAACTATAAGGACCTGCAAATTAATTTTCCCAAAATAAAGGAAAGAGATAAAGATTTACATATGGTTTTTATTGATTTGGAAAAAACTTATGACCGTATACCAAGAGAAGTGTTTTGAAAAGCCTTGGAAAAGAAGGGAGTATGGATTGTTTATATTAAAGTCATACAAGATAGGTATGAGGGGGCAAAAACTAGTATAAGAATGTCTAGTGATCAAACAAAGGACTTTCCTATAAAGATTGGACTACATTAGGGATCATCTTTGAGTCCCTATCCATTTAACTTAATCCTAAATGTTTTGACGGAACATATTCAAGGGGAAATTTCCTAATGTATGCTTTTCGTGGATGATATAGTTCTTATAGCAGAGACAAGAGAAGAGGTTAATTGTAAACTTGAGTTATAAAGGAGGACTTTGGAGTTGAAAGGTTTTCGTTTGAATAGGAGTAAGACGGAATATTTATATTTTAAATTTGGTGAGAGACTAGTCGATAGTAATTTGCAAGTGAATTTGGGAGATCAAATGATACCTCAAGTGTAAAAGTTTAGGTATTTGGAAGCCATTATTCAAAATGATGGCAAAATCAGTGAGGATATTTCACATAAGATTCAAGTTGGGTGGTTTAATTGGAGAAAAGCTAAAGGAGTTATTTGCGACCATAAGGTGCCCAATAAACTTAAAGGAAAGTTTTATCGTACTGCTATCAGACCGGCTATGTTATTTAGTAGTGAATGCTAGGCTCTAACGGGATAGCAAGAGCATAAAGTTGGAGTAACCGAGATGAGAATGTCACGATGGATGTGCGGACATACACATAAAGATAAAATTTGAAATGAGCATGTACGTGAAAAAACGAGGGTAGCACCTATTGAGGAAAAAATGATAGAAAATCATTTGAGATGGTTTGGGCATATACAAAGAAGACTGTGGGAGGCACTAGTGAGAAGAGTGAAACATGTAACTTTAAGTCCTGTTAAGAGAGGTAGAGGAAGGCCTAAGAGAACACTCTTGAAAGTTGTTGAACGTGATCTCTTAATTAATAATATTCCTAAAAGTTTGATAAATAATAGGGCATAATAGCGTCTTGTAATCCATGTAGCCGACCTCACCTGGTGGGATAAAGGCTTGTTGTTGTTGTAAAGGGAAGAGATGACAGTTTTTGCCTTTTTTTTTTTAATAAAGGATAATTTTTTTGAACATTGTATATAAATATTGCTTTAGTAAAAGCATAAACAATAATTTATAGTAAAATGTTACATTGTATGATTAAAGTTTATTCTGTGTATTTATTTTTGTTTTTCTTCCTTTTTTTAATCCAAAATTATCATCATAAATTTAAAATATATTAGTTTGATTACAACCATTTCGATCATGGTTTGACTATGGTCGGATTAGTGATCCTTAAACCAATGCCCCTATTGGTTTGATGACTAGTTTGGCATTAAAAACATTTTTCAAATATTGTGAATGAGGTCATGATGTCATCACACTGCTCTCTTTTACTTTCTTCTATTCTTACAATGTGAAAATATAAATATATAATATCTTGAAATATGATGTAATAAGCGAGTTACTGGCTGAAAAAGAATCAAATATATCACCAAGTATCTCAAATACGAAACCCATTCTATGCAGGTTGAAACAGTAGCTCAATTTGGTGTTATATTTTTGCTGTTTGCATTGGGCCTAGAGTTTTCCACCACAAAGGTTCGCTTGCTTACTCTTCTGGCTTTTAATCTGAATTTGTCTCCCCTAGCACATCCTTGATGTGTTTATAAATCTGTCTTTTCGTGCTTGCAGCTTAGAATTGTCCGAGCAGTGGCTATTCTTGGAGGTCTTCTCCAAATTTTCTTATTTATGTGTTTGTGTGGAATTACGGCCCTGGTATGCCTGTTACTTTGTTGAATATTGTTAAGTATAATTTTTCGTTACATCTGAGTTGCTGTCTTCCATAGATTTAAAATTCTTTGTATTAATCATAATCATCTTTTTTTTTTTTAATTGTATATTGTGTCAGCACATTAATTTTAATTTTTTTTTTTTTGGTTTTCTTAAGTTCTGAAAAGTTACTATTATCTCTATGGAGCAGGAGATGAAGTAAATATTTACTGCATGCGAGAAAAATGAATCTGGTTACTAGGCCAATACGAATATTTAGCCAATGATAAGCTAAATTCAGATGAGAGATCAATCTAAATTTGAGATTTTATGTTTTATGTACTGACATGCTGAAAATTCTTGGGCTGATTAACAAATCTCTTTGTGTAAAAGCCTATGATGAAGATAGCAGTTGTCTCTTAGCAATTTCTTTCTATACTTTTCTTTGTATCAATTATAGTGTTCAGTAAAGAATGAAAGAGAACTTGATTGATATCATGCCAAGAGCGTGAGATCTCATGTTGATGTGCTTCATTTCACTGTCTGTGTCAATTTTATTCTATCCAAAAGTTATCTTTTTGTCTTTGGAATTGTTTTATGTTATTGGATTACTATATTTTCTTGTAAGTGTGTACACTGGTCTCTGTTGTTTTCTTCTGATTAAATAATAAAGTTCTACAGTATCTACAGCTTCATGTATGTTGTAGATCTGATTATCAAAGATGCAAAGCCTTTAGTACGAGCTTGTGTATTCTAGACATTTTATGCTTCTTGCATTTTACAGTAGTCTAGTTGCATTATGTGTTGAAACTGAGGCTAAAATTGAATGAAACAATACATGAATTTATTCACTTGTTCATTACAAACCTTCTCCACTTTAGCAGAAGTCAATCTCTGATACATACAGCTATCTTCCTGCAGTTATGCGGTGGTAAATCTTCTGAGGGAATATTTGTTGGTGCATTTTTATCTATGTCTTCAACAGCAGTGGTACCTTTCAGAGCCCAGACCACATTACTGCATAGTTTCTGTGATTTTCTTTCAGCATTATAAATGTCAAGTAAAACTTACCCAATTTATTGGACACAATCCTTGCTATATTACTGCGCACACATTAGTATTATAATCCATGCCTATAAGAATTGTGATATACTACTGGAATTATTGCTAGTGGTGCTTGAAATAGAGATGAGGGTGATTCCTCTTTGGATGCTATTGAACTATCTGCTTGTCACCGCTTAGTTGGGTGGACAATGAAATACTTTTGAAATGGGCATAAAATTGGGACAGATCAACTCTTAAGAATTTCGGCAGACTCTTTGTTGTAGGACAAGGGATGAAAAGTGGGAAGGAAAAGGTGAAGGAGGGAGAGAACAAGAAAGATTAAGGGAGAAAAAGAGTATGAGCGAAAGAGGAAGAGTGTTTGATGGTGAAATTCTCAATGGAAATTTAATCATCAATGAAGTTTGCAATGTAATCCACCCATGGGCTGTTTGTAGAGCCCTAAGTATAGTAATAAAAATAATAATACATCAATAATAACAAGTCTTATGTCACTAGATGAAGTCGATTATATAGATTGCATGATGTCATTATATTCTATCATCAACCAAGCTTTTAAGAATATTATAAATTAGGAGGTCTATTTCAACAACTTCCATAAATGTTTTTTTGGCATTCCTTTACCCTTCTTTGTTTTGCTCAAGACTATTGGTTCCACTCTTCTCACCGACGCCTCTTATAGCCTTCTTTGTACATGTCTAAATCATGTCAAATGATTTTCTACCATTCTCTCTCAATAGATGCTATATCTACTTTTTCTGATATATGCTTATTTCAAATTTTATTTTTTCATGTATGTTTGCACATTCATTTCAGTATTCTCATATCTATTACTCTAACTTTATGCTTTGGCTGTCCCTTTAAAGCCCAAAATTCACTACTATATAACATAACTGTTTTTATAGCAATCCAATAAAACTTCCTTTTAAGTTTATTAGGTATCTTTTGATCACAAATAACTTCTTTAGCTTTTTTCATTTTAAACTACCTAGCTAGTATACTATTTGCAGCATCTTTATCAATTTCCATATCATGTTGAATAATAGCTCTCAAATATCTAAACTTTTTCACTTGAAGTATAATCTGATATTTCAATTTTACTTCCAAATTACTACTGACTGACCTCTTGTCAAAGTTGCAATGCAAATATTTTGTCTTCATCTTACCCAAGCAAAAATTCTTCAACTCCAAAGTCCTTCTCCATAACTTAAGTTTGCAATTAATCTCTTCTTTTTGTTTTTGTAATAAGAACTCTATCATTTGCAAAAAGCATGCATTTAAGGATTTCTTTTAGAATATGCTTTAGTCAAAACATTTAGAACCAGGTCAAACGAATTAGGACTCAAAGATAATCCCTGATGTAGTCCAATCCTTAGAAGAAAGTGCTTTGTTTCACTGCCAGATGTTTTTTCACTGGTTGTTGCCCTTTTATACATTTCTTGTATTGCTTTAATATTGGCAACTTGGATTCCTTTCTTTTCCAAAGTTTTTGAGGGTACTTTTGGTGCACGGTTATAAGCTTTTCCAAATCAATGAAACTCATATATAAATCTTTACCTTTGCTTCGATATTTTGCCATTAACCCTCTTAGTAGATAAATCACTTCTGCAGTCACCCTGCTTGGTATGAAGCCAAATTGATTCTCAAAAATTCTGGTATCTAATTTCAACTTATGTTCGGTCACTTTTTCCCACAATTTCATTGTATAATTCATAAACTTAATTTCATTGTAGTTTGCACAATTCTAAATATCCCTTTTATTTTTGTAAATAGGAACTAAGGTACTTCTCCTCCATTCTTCAGGCATTTTCTTGAACCATAAAATTTTATTAAATAACTTAGTTAGTCACAACACTCTATCTTCACCTAAATACTTGCGCACTTTCATAGGAATACAATTAGGTCCATTGATTCTACCATTTATTATTTTCTTAAGAGCTTCCTTTACTTCACTATTATGTATTCTTTGACAGAATGACAAATTATGTCTCCTTTACAAGTTATTAAATCTTCCAAGTTACTAGATGAGCTCCCTCTATCGTTGAAAAATTCGTAAAAGCAGGTCTTTTGTATATCTTTAATATCACCATCTGTAATTAAAATTTTTCCTTCTTCATCCTATATACACCTTACCTGTTTTAGATTTTTTAATTTTCTTTTCCTACTCTTAGTAATCTTATAATTTTTTTGTTATTTATCCTTTGTCTCGAGAGCTTTGTAAAACTTTTCAAATGCTTTAAAATGAGCTTCACTCATAGCTTTCTTAGTTTCTTTCTTAGCCATATGATATCCTTTCCAATTTTCAGCATTATTGCACAAATGGATGGTTTTAAAACATTCCTTCTCATCTTTGACCTTTTCCTGTACATTCACATTTCACTACCAAGACTCCTTATATGTTGGACCAAAACTTTTTAATTCTCCCAAAACTTTTTTAGAAACCTTCCTTGCCTTCTTAGCCATATCCTCCCATTAGATGTTAGCACTTTCTTGAGACCCTAAAATTCTTTCAGCGAAAGGATTCTACTTGAAAATTTTCCACTTATCACCTTTTAACCGACACCACCTAATCTTCAGATTTACCACTTGTCATCACTTTTGATTTTTACTCATAATATCCATATTAAGGACAATGACCCTCTATGTTGTGTTGTTTACACCACCCTAGGAATCACTTTACAATTATTACAAAATCAAAATAATAATGACCTAAACCAAAATAAAATAAATTGAAGCCTTATTTAAAGTCAGACTAAAGGAAATGTAACTTTTTACAATAAAAATGGCTAAAACACAAATACATTTAGTTAAATTCTAAAATATTTCACACCTAGAGAACATCTTCAATTTCCCTTCACTATTTTTATGATAACTAGAAAATATATTATAGTTATAACGTGGTAGGGATGTACTTCTATGTAATGGTTGATGGAGGAGAAAACCATGTCATATCCTCAAGCGGTTGGATTGGTGCAGTTGAGTGGAGTTTAAACTTTTAGGCTGTTTCTTTGATTGCATTCATGCTTGGTATTATCTTTTCTAATTTATATTTATTTATATTAATTACATTAATGACATGTTATGAAAATGTAATATTATAGCTTTTGTTTCTGGTTTGTGACCTATAGGTCTTGAAGTTCTTAATGGAAAGAAATAGTGTCAATGCCCTTCATGGCCAAGTTACAATTGGAACTCTAATTCTGCAGGTATGTGCTATTATTAGGATAAATTAAGTGTAAATAATGAACTGTTACTATCAACCATTTCGCAGAAATGAGTGAAGGCTAATTAATCATGGCAATGATATTCCTTATTGGGATTTTCCTTGACATATATCTTTTAATGCATATTTAAATCTTTTGTCTCCTCCAGGATTGTGCTGTTGGTTTGCTCTTTGCATTGCTTCCAGTCTTGGGTGGTACATCAGGCATTCTTCAGGGAGTAATATCCATGACTAAATCGTAAGTAACTAATACAGTCAACTGTCCTTTATATACGCATATCATCCATCCAAATGCACCTGTCCTTTATTTCTTCTTACTAATATTATTTTTTCAGGTTGGTGGTTTTAGTACTATTTTTGGCCCTTTTATCAGTATTATCACGCACTTGTGTACCATGGTTCCTTAAGCTTATGATAAGTTTATCATCTCAGGTGAGGATAGACCTTTTGCTTTCTTGTAACATGTTGGGTTTTGATCATGCATCATTTAACTTGGCTTTTTCTATGTGCAGACCAATGAACTCTATCAATTGGCATCAGTGGCATTCTGCCTGCTTGTTGCGTGGGTATGTCTATTCCCAACTGCTTTTCGTTACCTGGTATTGGTAACAGTTCATTTTCTCATTTCATAGTAGTCTGTCCTATTTTTTGCGTTGAAAAGTGTCCTAGTCATGATGAAAAGGAAGTCTTGTGCTGTTCCTTTTTGGTTTATGAAGGCTGGTGGCTGCACTCCCTATTTGCTGTTCTAAATCTGAGAGGGTGCTTAAATGCATTGGTGCATCCACACACACACACAACATACACGTACATGCATATAGACAAACCCAACAACTTCTTTCATATAATTTGTTGTTTTATTTCAGTGTAGTGATAAGTTGGGTTTAAGTCTTGAACTGGGTTCCTTTGCTGCGGGAGTGATGATATCAACAACGGATCTTGGCCAACACACTCTTGAACAGGTAACGTATTTATCTAGTGTGTTTTAATTTCTGGAGTTGGATGTTTCCTGTAGATCTTGAATGATCTATTTAATCTTTGATTAAATTTAAATTCTTCTTTGCCCCCTTGATGATCGTAATATTTATTGCACAATGGTTATCCTGAACATCTGATGGGTCCTCAGGGATTGTTTATTTTCTTAACACTGCCTTGTCTATATCTTGACCATAGATGCCATTATGTCAGTCTAAGCCATTGGTCTTCCTTTTCTGTGTTAAGTTTTGAAATCTGCTTTAGCTATTTTGGTTAACAAATTGTGTGGTAGTGATGTACATCGACCTAGAAGTTTGAAATTTTATTATGAAGTTCAGGAAGAAACTTGGAAGTAAAATTGGGAGATCAAATTATACCTCAAGTGGAAAAGTTTAGATATTTGGGAGCCATTATCCAAAATGATGGCGAAATCAGTGGAGATATTTCACATAGAATTCAAGCTGGGTGGTTTAATTGGAGAAAAGCTAAAGGAGTTATTTGTGACCGTAAGGTGCCTAATAAACTTAAAGGAAAGTTTTATCGTACTGCTATCAGACCGGCAATGTTATATAGTAGTGAATGCTGGGCTCTAACGGGACAGCAAGAGCATAAAGTTGGAGTAGCAGAGATGAGAATGTTACGATGGATGTGCGGACATACACGTAAAGATAAAATTCGAAATGAGCACATACGTGAAAAAGTGAGGGTGGCACCTATTGAGGAAAAAATGGTAGAAAATCGGTTGAGATGGTTTGGGCATGTACAAAGAAGACCAAGGGAGGCACCAGTGAGAAGAGTGGAACATATAACTTTGAGTCCGATTAAGAGAGGTAGAGGAAGGCCTAAGAGAACACTCTTGGAAGTTGTTGAACGTGATCTCTTAATTAATAATATTTCTAAAAGCTTAATAAATGATAGAGCACAATGGCGTCTTGCAATCCATGTAGCCGACCCCACCTAGTGGGATAAAGGCTTGTTGTTGTTGTTGTTGTTTTTCAGGAAGAAACTTGAGTGTATATTTTCTTATATACTTGTTTGAAAACTTAGTGAGTTTGTTGATTTTTAGGTTGAGCCTATTCGCAACTTTTTTGCTGCTCTGTTCTTGGCCAGCATTGGGATGCTTATACATGTCCATTTCCTTTGGAATCATGTTGATATTTTACTGGCAGCTGTTATATTGGTGATCATTGTAAAAACTATAGTAGCTGCTTCTGTTGTTAAAGGATTTGGATACGGCAACAAGACTTCACTTCTTGTAAGATTCAACGAAAACTTCTCCCTTGGTAATATCTGCTTGTTGATTACATCGCACATTTCATTGACGGAGGAACCTTAGGTTATTCCACATGCGTAGGTTGGGATGTCATTGGCACAAATTGGGGAGTTTGCCTTTGTTCTTCTCAGTCGTGCCTCAAACCTTCATTTAGTTGAGGTGAGTGCTTCATTTATAAATGAATATTTCGGAATTTGGATTGGATACATCAATTTCAAAATTGAAGGCTGTCTTCCCAATAATTTTTCAAGTTTTATTCTATTCCCCCCTAATTATTGATCTCCTCTATTCTCTGTCAGCTAGATGTATATTTTTGTTGTGGAATTATCTTCCTATTTTGCTGCATACAATTGCTAGTCAAGCAAATTGATATTTCTGACAGTGAATCTGAAGTCTGAAAAAATTGACACCCAACTAAAAGCTGATGGAGTGAATTTTACCGCAGGGAAAATTATATCTATTGCTCCTTGGAACAACAGCTCTCAGTCTGGTATGTTCGCTTGCATTGTGTGCATCAATAGTCCATCCATATGATACGACTCCTGATATTTGGATCATTGAAACAATCATGGCGCATTATTTGTATGCAAAGTTCTTGTGCATATATAATTTTGATTGTGAAAATTCAATGCCCACGGCATGCCTACAATGCTGTGATATAGTAATATTAGCAAGCAATGGTTATCTTGATGTGATTGACTATTAATTTTTCAAGTCCATATAGTTACTTGATTTGTGGATATTTGAAGCTTATTCAAACATAAAACGGTGCAGGTGACTACACCATTGCTTTTCAAGCTCATTCCTGCTGTTGTGCATCTTGGAGTGTTGCTGCGATGGTTCCCTCCTGATAGTCCAATTGAGGTAACTTGTCTGAAGATTTTTTGAATATATTTACACACACTCCTTTCAGACCATAACATATAATGTTTTCTAGAAGTTGGCATTTAGTAGGTTTTATATATTTTTTTAAATTATACCGTCACTTTTTTATATTCTACTCAAGTAATTAATGAGTATTTTAAATAAGTCAAATTTTATATTTATGCTCAAGGGTAAGATAGAAATGATTTGAAAATTTTTAGAAAATAAAGATTATAACCAATTCTTTTTGGAATTGTAAATAAATTAATAATGATTTATATTGTGATCTGGAGTACATAGAAAAAAAGAAAAACACACACTTATTTGTCTGAATAGTCTTGGATTTTGAATAATATGATTGGCCTCCCAGATTGGATATAAAGGGGATAGCTTTCGTTCAGACAGTGCCAAGCGTATTACTTTGATAGTTCAAGGCCCTCATGATTCATGATACTTGAATGAAATATTATATAACCCAAGAAATTCAATTGTGCGGCATTACCTAATGGAGTGACAGAGAAGCCCAGAAAGTGCAAAGGAGTCTTTTGAGTTATACCCTTACCCTCTATTCAATTGCTAAGCACTTCACATGCTGCTGCTTGCGTCCGAAACAACCTGTACTGGAAACTCCAAATGTTCAAAACATAAATCAAACTCACATCAAGTGGCCAGCCGTTTTAAGCGTCATCCACATACTGACCTACCAAGTATGGGCCATGCTATTAAGACAGAGCGGCTCTTTTTTTCCACCCTTTTTTTCTGTAAAGTAATATCCATTTTGTAAGGTAATTCTTTCTAATATGCATTCTTTTCATTTATTTTGGCCCCCCTCTTAAAAATGTCAGTTTATTGGTTTTCATGTATGTATAACTTTCATACTGTACAAGTCTCAATCAACTCGGCCGAAGAAGAAATTCTCAAAATCAAGTCGGCCGTCAAAATCTCAGGTATTATGACATTCATTAGCAATTAATCAGATGATTGATTTTTGGTTTTGCTGTCCCTATTGATTCATGATGTAGAATGATGCGCCGTGACAAAAAAATATCTCTATCAGGAATCGTGTACCATCTTTCATCCTTATTATAAGATATATCTATTATCTCATTGAAATTAAGGAGAACTGTTTAAATTATTAATTTTTGAAATAGAATAAAACTTTTATTTTACTCCTATTTAAATGAAAAGTTTTTAAAGTTGCATTATATTCTCTTTCATAATGAGTTTAGATATGGGTAATATTGAAAAAATATTTATTTAGACTTTCAATTTTATAAAAGATTTTATTTTGATCCCTTAATTTTATAAAGTGTTTTTTAAGTTTTTTAACTTTGGCACTGTTAGTTTTATTACAAAAAAAATTATACATTGAACTTTTAAATATTAATATTTTTAAATGTTGATATATTAAGTATAATTTTTTAAATAATAATGATTAATATACAAAATAATCATTTAAAACTATTGGTGTTGGGATTAAAGGATTGGAAAGACTTTTAAAATTAAAAGATTAAATTAAAATTTTACATAAAATTAAAGGATTAAAATTACACTTTAGCCAAAAATATAATTAATATTTTATCAAGTGTCATATATTAAGGGAATTTTTTTTATTTAGAAAATATCTTATAATAAGGATACAAGGGATTAAGATTACAGAAATATTAACTCCATTTTATAGGACCATTTTGTGACGCGCGGAGTGATTTGTTGTTCTGAGTTCATGTGTTAGCTTTAATTTAATTCGTCCTATGTATTATTGCAAGACAATTCATCCTCATTTGCATAATTCGATCATTTGGAATTTCCTAGAGTAATATCTCATCCCCACTTGAATGGTGACTTCCTAAAGGTTCTGGACTTGAGATGGATAACAATGAAAGCACTGGCACCACACATTCAGTGCACTGTCCAGTTATGGTTTTGTTATCTTCCGAAATTCAATTATATGGAAGGTTTTATTGAAATTCTAGTACATTCCGTTTAGGACATAAAGAAGTATTCACCTTTTCTGTTCATTACCACGTTCTAGATGAAGGCGACATTGACAGATGAGCTAACCATAGTGAAGGTGTCTGAGGAATGAGGATTCATTTATGGATTAAAAGAATATTTTTATCTTTTAGCTATTCACTTAAAAATACTTTGTATCTTAAACTTTTACGAAGTATAATTTTTTTTAATTTTTAAAAATGGTGCATTTAGTACTCACTTATTGCAAAATTGACTTTAACTGTTAGTTGACTTTTAAATTACAAGAAAAGATCTTGAAAATTATAGAAAAGGATTCATAAATTTCACATCAGTAATTTATAAAAAAATTATTATCAATTAAGTTTTCTAAATTACTTGTAAATAATAGAATGTAAATGTTATTTATTACCCTCATAAAATGTCAAAATATAGTTTAGACTAACTATTATTTTATGGACTTAATCAATATTAAATTTCTTATATGTTATTTATTTGAAATTTTATAAATGCTTTTCTGTAATTTTTTAAGTTTTTTTTTGTAATTTTTTTAGGTCAACTAATTACTAAGTTAAATTTTTTAACGCAAGGTGTTGTAAGAGAACAATTACATGGCATAAAAGTTTAAAATACTATGTATTCCTGAATGAATAATTAAGGGGCAAATATGTCTTTTGGGTGTTCTTAAATGAATAATTGAGGGATAAAAGTGTTATTTAACCCTTCCTATATTTGCTAGTCAGCTTCTCGCAAATACCATCCTGCCCAGTACCCACCAATTCTACATTTAGGTCCTATTTGGTAGCTAGGACAAACAATATCATCTTATTGCACGAACTAACATCATGTTAGCATAGTGATGGCTTGCCGTTTGTCAAAATTATACCTAGGTTTTACAAAAAAAAAACTTTATTATCAAGAGATTTTGTAAAAATCCGTAAAATATTTTTAGGTTTCAAATTTTGTACATGTACAATTAGGCAAAGGACACTTATAACTAAACAATGAACATTTACAATTGGATAGTAATTATTTATAACTTATAAAAGAAAATGATAACTTGTAATAATAAGTTATAAATGTTCATTGCCTAGTTATAAATACCATTTATCAAATTATAAATGAGTAAGATTTTAAATTTAGGAGTATTTTGTGAATTTCATGAGTCCTTTTAATAAGACTTTTTTTTTTTTTGTAGAATCTAGGTGTAATTTTCCCTTGTGCTTTTCATAGGTATTTGCTTATACTTTGTTTTTTTTTTAATTAATAAACTTACAGGCATGTCTCATGCTTACTTCATTGGTTATAATTACTAATAATATAAACATTTTTAATTAATATAAATAAACAAAGAATGTAGTTCAAAGTCAGTCATTTCTATTCGATCTCATCACTATTTATAAGTAATTGGCGTACTAAAATATATACATATATATAATGATTGATCATTATATATTCTTATGATTATTTATTTAAAAACATGAGATATGTTATATGAAAATTTTCTTGTTCTTGTTTCTTTTCAATTTTTCTTTATTTCATTTCATCTATCCAATGAACTTTTTTATGCCCCATTTGATAGCATGAAATTGGAAAAAAGAAAATGGAAGTGGAATTTAACTTGGGCTAAAGTACAAGTATGTCTAAGATATTTTTAAAAAGACACAATTAATATCCTAACGTTTTTAAAGGCACAATATTGTCCTGGCATTTTTCAAAATCGGACAATTTTGCTGTAACTTGATGATTTGATTGCTTTGATCGTTAACTTTCAATTTTGACCATTAAATACCTTGCTGGCAAGCCACATAAAGCTCCATGTGAAAAAGAACTTAGGAAAAATTACATTCAAGAAATTTATGATTGAAGTGTCTAATAAATTTTACAAAATACTCTCAAAACCCAAATCTTTTATATTAACAACTTGATTAAGGATATTGACAACTGGACAACTATCATTTACAATTTATTATTACAAGTTATCATTTTCTTTGCAAGTTGTAAATGATTGTTGTTCAATTATTAATGTCTTTAATTAAGTTGTCAATGCACAGGATTTGAGATGTGAAAATATTTTATAAAATTTATGAGACTTCTTGATAATAAACTTCCTTTCATAAAACCTAAATATAATGTTTTCAAAAATTTACCTCCTTATGGAGGGGCTTAATTTCCTTCTTTCTACCAATCCCTTGTTCTACCAACCTCTTACCTTTCCCATTACTGCATCTCAATTTCAATGGTTGTGATGTAACATATTATAAAATTATTCTGATAATGTGAAATAATAAATAAATTTAAATTGTTAAAATTTTATTGTGACAATCCAGAACTATATTAAAAACTATTTTTTAAATAATTTTTTTATATTTTTTCCACTGTAACTATGAACTACTTAGATCAAATTTTAATAGTTTAAATTTATTTATCTATTATTTAATATTATAATAATTTTATAATATGTTAGATTTCAACTATTAAAGTTGAGATCCAAGGATGGGAAAGTTAAGAAGAGAGAAGGAGAAGGGAAAGCCAATTCTAAAAAACATGTCATTTTCTTAAAAATCCTTTCCCATCCCAAAAGAAGCATTAGAGAATTGATTTTTTTTTCCCTCAAGAACTTAAAGTCTTGAAAGCAAGTTTAATTAATTTTAGAGAGACAATACGCTTCGGCATTATTACATGTTTATCATTTTTATATTTTTACTTTATAAAATTATATTAACTCGCTTATAAATTTAAACTCAATTAAACTCATGAGTTGGCTCTCTAAATTTGTCAAGTTTACCTTTTTAGTTTATAAAATTATACCAATTTATTTGTAAACCTGATGAGTAAGATATGGATATATTATGTAAAACTTGATTTACAAAAGTAGTGGGATCCGGTTCAATAAAAAATAAAACTAAAAAAAAAACTAACATTAATGAAAAAGAAAACAAAAATACCAAAAATAAGTTGCTATATTTTAAAACTTTTTATGTGGAATATAATAATACATGAATGTAGATAGATTTAATTTTAATGACTTATATTTGAAATATATTTAAATTAAATTATGATCATATTTTATATGTTAACTATTTAATTTATTAATAGAGGTAAACTTTAATAAATTTATAATTTGAGTTTACATTTTAAATTTACATCTCAATCATAAATTTATTTAAAATTGCGGGTTTAAAATACTCCGCTGAACAAACCATTATTTGGTGTAATGATTTATATGCGACATTGTTTCCACAATACTCTAGAAATGTGCCAAATTATACTTAATTATACGTACGAGAATGTTGGCTATATACAATGATGAGACGACCCAAAAGAAAATAAAAATAGAAATAAAAACAAAAGCTGAAAAGAAAAAGAAAAAGGAAAGGACAAATTGATGGGAACAATGATGGAGGGTGTTTGGAGATGATTGCAACAAGACAATGAAATTTTGTAAATGAAAGATTTTGGGGTCAGAATAAGTCTGGTACGTGAAAACAAAATGTAAATTTCCACGAAATTCATGTGAACCTTAGTACTGTAAAAAATTCCAAAACATCGGACAACCGATTTTAAATCTTTTTGTTTCCTTTTTTAATATGGAGGACACTTGGTTGGTTGAAATGTCACCATATCTTTGAAAGTGTTACACCCTAATCATACTTTGTTACTCCGCAAACAAAGGCAATCAATCCTAAATTCTAGAAGCACTAACAACTTAATGTAAATAAAGTTATTTAAATTATATTTTATTAAAATTTGGTATTCCATCTTCTAGAAACCATATTTGCTTCTCTTTTCTTCTCTATTTTAATTATACAAAAATATTATCTTGTTTTGAATCACTGTTGGACACTAAATATAAACATTCTTTTTAATAAATATTCAAACTTTAATTTATCATATTAAAAAGAATTAGCCTCTTCTATTAAACCTAATTTCCGTTGGCATCTGCTTTTCAGAGGAATTAAAGTCATCCTCAGTGTCTGAAACTACAAAAGCTCAGGAGTTACTTTTTGTATACGAAGTTGGAA